GTTCATAAAAGCTGTAACAAACACTTGTCATTTTTCCAAGAACCAAGTCCACTGTGAGAGTGGGTGGTCAGTGTTACATTTTTTGGACTCGTCAGTGAACTTGAAACTCATGAACAGGCAGTGTTACTAATTTTGGAAGTGTTTACAGACAATTCTTCAAAACAGCATCAATCAAATGATTGATTAAAAAAATTATTGAAAAAAACCCTTTATAAATGGACTTTAATAGAATATAAATGAATATGATCCATTTTACTGTTTTCATTGAAATAATTCAATATAATGAATTATTTGTGCTGCTATTGTACTGTTTTCGATTGTAATGTCTCACATTTCTGTTTACTGGACATTGAGGCGTTTAAAGCTTTTAGTTTTGTTGGCACTTTCTCTATCGACTATTCTCGGAAGGTTTTACCAAGAATATCCCTGAGCACAGAACTTCTATGTTAATTTCAGTGCCAATTACAATTCAATAGAGTCAAGTCACTGAGCAACTAATTCAAAGGATAAGAAAAAATCTTTCATTATTGAGTTTTGGTTATCCAAACAAGCGCTGTTAAATGTTTGTAATGCTCATTTTAGCTTATTCTTTTTTGATTTGTTTGGCCAGTGCAACTTTTAATACAGGATATATTTGCCAGGTTTGCATCCAGGTCCCAGTTCTCCTCTTTGTTGAGCGTGCTAGTTAAGTAGGCGATTGCTCTCTCATTGGAGTTTAATCCAGTGTGTTCCCTCTAGTCCTCTGTTCAAACTTACTTTCAGCCTCTGGTATAATTGCTGGGTGCATTTCCTTCCCACACTGCTGGGCTCTGTGCAATTTTCTCACTGTTTGCTTTTTCATCCGTGTCTAATTTGAGAGACGCGCCTCAGCAGAAACGCATGTGTGTGTGTGTGTGTGTGTGTGTGTGTTTATTTGTGTGTGCCAGTTTGCATGCTTGTGTTTGTTATGAGGGGCTGGGAGGAACTGACTCGCTTGTGGGGAAATGTTGAGGCACTGATTGTATAGAAGTGTGCAGTGCTGGTTGCAAACAAGTTAATTAACAGTGTTTCTTAATTAGCATGGGCTTGAGGGCAGAGACGGGCTGTCACTTCTGGTGCTGTGGATCTCACTCTCTCACAATCTAATTTCTCTCACTGAGAGAAGAGGAGAGGATAGGTTGCTCTTGACAAGCTATTTTTAAAGACATATCTGCACTGTTGGCAGAGTTGCATCTTTTTAGTGTAAGAATAGTGATTGAATGATCTTGGAACATCTTAGGTCCTACAATTTATTCAATGAATACTACACAGTGTATCTGGATAGACTTGATGTCAAGTCAACGTATGGGTTTTTCGGTTCGGTATGCATATGTGCCAAAACAATACAGCATTGTTTTATCCAGTGCACATGTGGAACTTAACTTGAAACTCCTAGTTTTATATATATCTTCATTTTAGCAAATCTATAGCAATTCTTAAATCCCAAGATTGATCTTTTAGCCTTGCTGTTTCAGTTCATGGTTGAATAAAACTTTACAAGACATACTGTATATTAGACCTCTTGTCCAATAATTCATGTTTTGTTACTTTTGATAAGAAACAAAGTGTCATTCTTCAAATTATGTCAATTTTATCAGGAGATTCAAACAATAAATGCAATTTTGACTCTCTTTGATGAGAAAATTGTAAATATAATTGAATTTATTTACATACACAGCCACAATTTAAGTAAGCCACTGTTTAATTAAATAAAAAATAATTTTGTTTTGTGCTATACTGAAAATGTACCAAACTGTGACTTCAGAACCAAGATACATACACATTTTTTGTTTGCTTGCTTTATTTATGTATTTGTTTATTTATTTTTGTACCATTACATAACTAATACAAATAAGGGGCACCTAAATAAATAAATAAATAATATATGTGACTTACTGTAAGGTGTGGTCACATTTACCATTGCTTTGTGAAATTCAGTCAATAGGAATTTCAATAAGATTATGCACAATCTGCAAATTTGTGTGAGGGCAATAGAGACCAACTTAAATGCAGATTTTGCTTATGTTCAAATTGGTCATCTGAATGCACCACATTGACACAGTTTTTTGTTTGTTTGTTTCACACTGAAATTTTGCTTATGTGTCCTTTATGTGCAAGTCTTCTCAAGTTATATGATAGTTTTGCATGAGGAACGAATCTAAACTTAAGTCTTCATTAACTGAAAATCTTGCCATATACCTCTCAGATGTCATATTCATACTTGGTGCATAAAGACATTCCTTGTTTGATGTCAGTGATGCTAACTGCTGTTGATTCTCACAATGTCTAGTCAAGTTTGAATATGCTAAAGTGCAAAGGTATGAAAAAGAAAAAATGAAGTGGAGATGAAAAGAAGAAGTGAATAATGACTATTTGATAATTTAGCCAAAATGTTGAAGACAATAATGAAGTAAACAGTGACACAAATTGCTTTTTTGGCCTCTCTATTTCTTTAATGTGGTTTATAAATCAAAGGAGATAACTACTACAGTGATCAGCAGTTCTTGAGAATGGCCTGATCCTCACTTCTACCCAAGCTAATATATATGCGGTAATATACTGTACATCAGCCAGGGCATCCAAACACTCGCCTATCATTCATCTGAAACATGTAAGTAGTAGCAACTTCAAATGACCTCTCGCTCTACCGTTAACCTATAAAAATGTGTGCTATTTCAGTGTTTGTGCGGAATGAGGAAGCGTGCGCCGGTGTGATCACTTGCGCTTAAACTTGTGCTTCTGGTCATACAAATGGTCATCTGGTCATATATTTTGTAAGCTTTAAAGACTCTTCTTTTATTTATTTGATTTTGTAAAATAATGAAACGCGTGCACGTTCTGCCATCTCGTCACGGTCTTTGAACTTGAGCGTGTCAAATAATAAAACGAAACTGCATTTATACTTGCCTCAGGCATAAGAAATATAGGCCTATCTATAGAAAGCGAAATGTCTGCTTTTAAACGAACCAATTCAGATGGAAAACAACTATTCTCAGTTTATGTGATCTGTTTGAAACATTAATATAGGCGTATCCACTGAGGAGATCGTCAATTCATCACTGCAGCCGAAAATACAGTAAACACTGGTTTATCAACAAATTACTAAAATGTTAAGGCAGTCTCCTTGCTTTTTTCCTGATGCATTCATAATCATTACTTCTGCCGGTGCGCTGTGTGGCAAACCTTATTCATGCGCTACATAGGCAATTAATCGCTCATTACTATGATTTATGGTTTATTAATATAAATGTGCGATTAGTCGACTAACCACTTAACATGAACAACTACTGGTCGACCAGAAAAATCTTTAGTCGAGGGCAGCCCTACTTTTCTTATTTATGTTCTTCACTGTGTCCATGACATACATAACCATATCATGAATATTACATGTTAGCTACTTCTCTCACGAGAGGCTTCTGTTGTTTGTAGTGAATTGATTAGTTTGAGATACTAGAGGTGAGGCTGAATCAATAGCGTTGTGTTGAGATACTCTTTTGTCATTGACATTCTAATGCCAAGTGTTAAAATTGAATTTATGGTGCTTGCTAAGGCAAGCGTCACTATTACTGTTGCTCATTCTTAAGTTTAGGGATTTGAACAAGCCTCTTACATATCCTAAACGTTGTTGTTTAACTTGTTTCTGCACAGCTTGTGCTACAAACATAAGTGATACATCAAATCATGTAGTTTTTTTGAGGAGAAGAGTGCTATTACTTTTCTAATTAATCAGACTTAAGTAATTTGACTAAATATATTCACCTGATGGCAATCCCATTCAATTGAAAAATAAATCTTATTTGTCAAATTAATGCATTATTATTGTATTAGGTTTTATTGTTTTTATCATTGTCACAGACCAGGGCCTCACACCCACGCATGATCAGATTTGATCCTAAATACTATGGAAAATTCAAAAACTTGATTTACAGCATACAGGCAAAAACAGACTTTTTTTGTGCTCATATACACCAGTATTTAAGTCAACAATGTTTATTAAAATGTAAATATAAATAGACAATCACAGTATGCAGTAATACTGTGTGCACAATTGAGCAACTGTTTTTTTATGCTCACTGTTGCTTCTATGATTTCACTGAAACTATTTTATTAATTATATATGATTTATCTATGGAAAAAAAGCACTACAGTTTATGTTGTCATATCAGGTACATTTTGTCATATAATGATTGAAAAATAAATAAATGTTTAATTGTACATATTCATGTAAAATGCTAGCCATGGATTTGGCCACTTTATTCCAAGAAAAATAAACATTTCCATTTTTATATCACTGTCATTTGTAAAACAGAATGCTTTCAAACACAATATGTGGCTGAAATTATAAAAAAAAAAAAAAAAAAAAAAAAACAACATTGATCCATAAATATAGTTCACAAACTGTTGGAAAATTTGTGGTGGAAAAACTACAATAATGTGGGTTTTTTTTCGGGTTTTTTTTCCCTTCTAGTTCTAAAAGTACAAAAACATCCATAAAAAGAACATTTATTTCATCATGCCCCAGGGATTGTGCTGGTATCATAATGTAAGATCCAAGGCAATTTTCCCAGAATCCCAAGAGATCTGATCCAAGCTTCTACTAAGAGAAAACCAACCCCATTAATCAATCCTAATATGTCGGTTCGCATGTTTGAATCAAGTCACATTCATTCATGTCTAATTCAGCCTCCAATTTCCGTACCTTATACACTTCAAATTCAATTCCTTGCCAGATGCATCTTGCTTTTCTCTGGTCTTTTTTAGCCAGGCAGACAGACCTCATTCCCTTCCTGATATTGTTTCAGGATCAACACCATTTCATCTCCATTCTGTCACCCCTCCAGCTGTTGAGTGTAATTGATTAAAAGCATCTATCCTCTCCCCACTGTGTGTTTCAGGTCTGCCCCTCGCTCTCTCTCTCTCGTTCTCTGTTTGGTCTGGGTGTCTGCAGATGAATAATAATGTTTTGCCAACCCTTCTCTCAGGTTGGTGATGTACATTGAAAGAGACGTCCGAAAGGCCACGCCAGGAAAGGAGCAACAAAGCGGCAATGAATACCTGTCAAAATGCCTGACCCTCTTCATCCGTCACACCGTGCACGAACTGCCAGCCATCCTGGGTAAATCAATCACAATACACCCGAAAAAGAGGGGAAAGGGAATGCAAAGAATTCACTTGAGAAGGAACAGAGTGAAATGGGCAAAACAAAGCAGGGACAATGAGAATGAACATTGAATTTGATTGGCCTCTCTTTAATTATCTTTCTGATTGAATACGTGAGCAGGCTCTCAGGTATCGACCTGTTCCTCCTTTTTCATTTGTGAATCAGTGCTGCTACACACCACCTCTCCCCCATGAAACCTGTTCAAACCGGTTCAGTTCTTCGGACCTGCTCACGCCCCCGGCCACCTACCCAGACTGATCATGATGGATTGTTTGTGATTGGCTGATTCCTCACTGCTTCTGTTTATGAGGGCTCTCTGTAGATGACATCCTGTCCGTGTTAGGCAGCATTGTGGGAAGGAAGCACCCCTCTCCTACGCAGTCCCGTCAGCTGAAGCAGAGCCTCCCCATGACGGCTGTGGTGCTGCATCTGCTCACCTCACAGGTGTGTGTCTGTGTCAGGTCTTGCTATATTTACCTTTTTGCTAGTTATTTTGGGTTTCTATCTCCACAAGGATGGTACAACTATGAGGTAAAAAAAAAAAAAACATTGTGGGGACCTACCTTGTGGTGCAATAGGTAATAACTTATTTCACAAGCTATTTTCTGTGCAGCAGATGACACTGGAAGCCTTGAACGTTCAAGTTACAAATGGCTGCACACACTATTATATTAAAGATAAGGTGAATAGCAACGATTCACAGTCTGTTCAGGCCAAGTACCCTTTTGGTCAGATCAGAACATCCACCCGGAACATCCAAATACCAGTTAATCACACTGTTCCTTCCAAGGTCAGAAATTAAAGGGATGGTTCACCCAAAAATGAAAATTCTGTAATTAATTAATCACCCTTGTGTCATTCCAAACCTGTAAGGCCTTCATTCATCTTCGGAACACAAATTAAGATATTTTTGATGAAATCCATGAGCTCTCTGACCCTCCATAGACAGCAAGGGTACTTCCACGATCAAGCCAAAATATCTACATATCAAGCCAAAATATCTTAATTTGCGTTCTGAAGATGAACGAGGGTCTTACGGGTTTGGAACGACATGAGGGTGAGTAATTCATGACACATTTTGGGTGAACTATCCCTTTAACAGGGGATTGTGCAAAAATGCTACCAAAATGAACAAAAATGGCGCCAAAATAAAAAAAATATTCAAGATAAAGGGGCATGCCACAGGGGCAGGCCTGCCGCAAATAAAAGTATATGTTAAAATGAATTAATTGTGTTTATTTGTGGAATTACATTTAGATTTGCGCACATTGCATCAGATTTTTTTTTTTTTTGCAGCATCAAGAATTATAACCAATCACATGCTTTTGAGCTTATGAATGCAATTGCCGAGTCGTTTCGATTAGTCGTTTTGGTGAGTGTGTGTGCTCACTGACAAAATTCTGCTTGCTCACAAATTCTTTCATCATAATCAAAGTACAGAAAAGATGCAAATAAGAGATTGATTTTGCAGCTTCAGTGATTATATAAGATGTTGCATAACTTGTGCTAGACTAGACTAATGCCATGGACCGACACATTTGTCTGTGTAGCCAGAATATGATGTGCTGTTTCCCCTAACACAAAAATGTTTTACATATGTATTCTATTAATCGCCATTAATAGTAATTATTACAATGTAAATGTCACGATTGCACTACTGTGAGGAGTGCGGAGCGAGGAACGAAGGAGATGAGGAGTACATCAATCGAGAGATTTTAATGAATTCAAGGGAACACAGAAAACACATGTAGCACTCGGACGAACAATACCGGACAAAGAACTCAAAACAGGAAACACTTTAAGTACGCAACTTAATCAGGGGAAGACGAGAAACACATGGAATCAAATGAGAAACATTCAGGGAGCAGGAACAGGAAGATAACCAAATAAGGGCAAGGAAGGCACATGGGGAGCAAAACACACACAAAACAAGTAACAAAGTCTGATAGTAAAGAGCAATTATTGACAATAATGATTTTTGTCATAATATTGTAGCCCTAGCCTGTAATGGGTTCCTGAGTTAAATGTAAAATTTATATACAATTTGAAACAGTTTATTGTTATTTTATTGGTAACAGTTGAAAGTATCCTATTGATTTAAGTAATTGGTTAAATTTAAGTATTTGACATTAAAGTCAACAATTCAATTAGCAATGCCCCTGGAAATCAATACCATAATAATAATGTGCTCTTTATGATATTATATATGATTATACATTATATATTTAATATTGCTCCAAAATCACATACTCTCTAACTACTTCATTTGAACAAGTAATTACTTTGCAACTGTTAAAAAGTATGTTCTATATAAAATTAATGTGTAATATAATTAAATTCAGTTCAATTCAAGTTTATTTGTATAACGCTTTTCACGATACAAATCGTTGCAAAGCAACTTTACAGAAAATTACGTTTCTACAATATATTTAGTAGTAGCATATCAGTGGTGACCGTCAGTTAATGTACATATGGCAGAAATGTATGGAAAAATCAATTAAAGACGTAATCAAACAGATGATAAGCAATATTAACAGCAATTATTATATGATGCAATCAAACTTATAGCAAAATTTGGTAGTTCTGTATGTTGTTTCAGGGTTGCCATCATCTGAGGTCCTCTGAGGGGTTGCATCATCTCTTCTCAGGTGTTCTGGATCCAGACTGAAGCTTGTGTAAATCCTAGTTACATCCATGGCAAAAACAGAGAAACAAATAGATATAGCTGCAGTACAAGATTATGAGATGAATTATTTGAATGCTTGGCCAAAGAGATGTGTCTTTAATCTAGATTTAAACAGAGAGAGAGTGTGTCTGAACCCCGAACGTTATCAGGAAGGCTATTCCAGAGTTTAGGAGGCAAATGCGAAAAAGCTCTACTTTAGTGAGCTTTTTTTCCTTTAGTGGACTTTGCTATTCTAAGTACTACCAAAAGTCCAGAGTTTTGCGACATTAGGGAGCGTGATGGATTGTAGCGTGTTAGGTATGCAGGAGCTAACCCATTAAGGGCCTTATAGTCAAGTCAAGTTTATTTGTACAGCGCTTTTCACAAAATGGAAAGCAAAGCAACTTTACAGCCAATTAAGTTTCTACAATATTTAGTGGTAGTTTATCAGTGGTGACTGTCAGTTAATGTACATATGGCAGAAATGTACGGAAAAATCAATTTAAGATGTAATAAAACAGACGATGAACAATATTAACAGCAATTATTATATGATGCAATCAAACTTATAGCAAAATTTGGTAGTTCTGTATGTTGTTTCAGGGTTGGCATCATCTGAGGTTCTCTGAGGGGTTGGCATCATCTCTTCTCAGGTTTTCTGGATCCAGACTGAAGCTTGTGTAAATCCTAAAACAGAGAAACAAATAGAGACATAATTAGCATAGCTGCTGTTCCAACCAAGCAAAATTGATTTGTTTAACCCAAACTAAAGAATAATAATGTGCATTTGATCAGATATAACTGCAGTACAAGATTATGAGATGCATTATTTGAATGCTTGGCCAAAGAGATGTGTCTTTAATCTAGATTTAAACAGAGAGAGTGTGTCTGAACCCCGAACGGTATCAGGAAGGCTATTCCAGAGTTTGGGAGCCAAATGCGAAAAAGCTCTACCTCCTTTAGTGGACTTTGCTATCCTAGGTACTACCAAAATTCTTCATAGAGATAATTTTTTTGCAGAAAGGAGTACAATTGAGCAGACACAACTTTTTCTAAAATTTTAGACATAAACGGAAGATTTGAAATGGGTCTGTAATTTGCCAGTTCACTAGGATCTAGTTTTGGTTTATTGATAAGAGGCTTAATAAATGCCAGCTTGAATGGTTTTGGGATGTGTTAATAATATTGAGAAGCGGTTCTTCTGCTACAGGTAACAACTCTTTCAGTAATTTAGTGGGTACAGGATCTAACAGGCATGTTGTGTTGGTTTAGATGCAGTGATGAGTTTATTTAGCTCTTACTGTCCTATAGTTGTAAAGCACTGTAGTTTATCTTTAGGTGCGATGAATAAAGCTTAAGTATTAGACACTGTAGAATCTACATTTGTTATTGTATTTCTGTTATCTATTTTATCAGTGAAGAAATTCATAAAGTCATTCATAAAGAAATTCATAATCTGGGCATACTACATTTATCATGTTGTCATTTATCATGTGACCTATAATGGCAGTTGCCATTCACAACTCATCTCCTGTGGCCTCATGGGATAGTAAAGTGTCCATAGGATGTTCACTTCAGAATCTTGCCTAAAAAGTAGATTATCCGGGTTGCTTTTACCTTCTGTTTTATGAAAACTGAATTCAGTCATAATACTCTTTCACATATTGTTTTTTCGCCTATATATTAGAGAAGAATGCATATTCAGATGCAGCCGTTGTCATGGGGACAAAAATGACAAAAAACATTTAGTTCATTTTTGAAGTATAGGAAGGTATTGTGATAATGTTCGAAAAGAGTAAATGTGTAAATCATTGTGCCTTTTAAACGAACTAAAAAATAAACTTTCCAGACTCCCGCCACCTCTCACTTTATTAAATGTCTTCATCTGAGCAGAAAATAATGAATGAATGTGCCGTACCTGCCTGTCATGCACTGAGTGTAATCACTGTCTGTGTCAGAATGAAATGATCTATTAGGGAGCTTTCCGGTGCAGCTTCAATGCGCGCACACACACACACACACACACACACACAGATTATTACCAGTTGCCAAACAGTGCAAAATTGGATTTACTTCTGACACACTCAGTCACGCCAAAATTAATATGAAGGGATCTGGTATTCTCAGAGAAAGATGTTTGTCAGTGCGCAGAGTTGATGAGTCTCTCTGCTGATTAAATACACTTTTACATTCGGCCAGGATTTGCCATGGAGACTCAGTGGCAGATTGAGTCATCTCATTTGAAGGGGTCGGTGCTGATAGAGCTGTCTGTCTGATAGTTCCGCTGTCATTAACTCATCTAAGGAGGATACACTGATGTCCATTAACACAGAGCTGCAGTGGGCGGCTTAGAGTGGTAATAGGCAGTTCTTTTGATTGTTTGTGTCTGTCTGTTTTAATGGTCCTCACAGTGAGTTGTGTTGGTGTAGTGCCAGCCTCAGACAGCACATCCACAGATCACCCACAGGCATTCACTGGCCGCCTGATGCATATTATTCTCAAATATGGCAAATATTTGTCCAAATGTCCGATCTTATTGGCTGATTAAATTTCTAGGAGACGAGGTAGCCAGGCTGCTTCAGTAAGAGCTTCTGAGGAAGAACTATACTCTGAAAAAACAAAAATCGAATTGCCCTCCTCTAAAATGAACTGTGGCTATTCATTTTCTCATGATCTTAGAAAACTTTTGATTATACCTTAATATTTAATATGCTTAATTTCTTTACAGATCAAAATTTTGGGGTCAGGAACATTTTTGAAATAAATTGAAAAGTTGAAAAAGGAAATCCACATATTATTATGATTCCCGAAGGATCATTTCAGGGTGGCTGAATTTTAAGAAGGTACAATATGACATGGATAAAAGTTTTATTTAAATTTAGGGTGGGTGATATGGTAAAAATATCATGTTTTTTTTTTTTTTTAAGGAAAATCACAATTCACAATTTTATCCTGATTCTTTGTAATGTTGGTTTTACTATTTTGCAAGTTGTCTGAGCAGTACAGCCAAACTGTGTCCCTGTTTTAAAAACAAAGCCTTACAAAGTAGCAAAATACAAAATAAAAAAGAATGGCAGACATTTAGGCCAAAGTGGGCAAAGATCTTTATAATTTTATTTTATGTCATTATTTTATCTTTATTAAAAAATAAGAACAAAGATACTCATTACAAATTAACATAATATACAAATACAACAATATTTATTTATTCATTTTCTTTACTTTATTTTTCAAGTACAGTATGTGTATTTAGCAGTAGCATTCAAGAAATTGAATGAAGAAATGTAAAAATAAAACACTATATACACTTCACTGTATAAATTATACATTGACTCCTATTAAAGCAACTGTATTGAAGTTTTTCAGTCAAGAGCAGCGAGTGATTTTTCTCTTTGTGTTTTGATGTTTTATCAACGTTAAAAGGGATAGTTTACCCAAAAATTTTAATTATCATAATTTACTCACTCTCAAGCTGTTTTAAACCTAAATGAGTATCTTTCTTCTGTTGAACATAAAAGTTATTTTTAAGAACGTAAGTAAAAAATTGTTGCTGGTCTCCAGTGACTTCCATAGCATTTCTTTTTCAATAAATTAATACAGGTTTGGGACAACATGAGAGTGAATAAATAATGACAAAATTTAAATTTTGGGGTGAATTATCCCTTTAATGACAAGCGGCAGCATGTTTAGTACTATAAGTCTGCTGTCACTTTAAGACCTGCACACATCCGTTTTTCTCTCAACTGTTTACTTTCACTTTAGACATAACCAACTGTATTTACAGTATATGTGAAACTTGTGTTTTTGACAGTATTAGTGCAATCAAATGCGAAAGATAGCTTTTTAGTGTGCGCGCTTTAGGTGTACGCGCTCAGAAGTAGTGCATGTCAGACCAGCACGTGAATGAAATGTTTAACTGGCAAGACTTTAAAGCACATGCAAATAATATACTTTTGTGATTTGTGAAGTGCAGTTTCCCATGAGTGTAACTCTACCACTGAGTTAACATTTGATGTTAATGTATGTTGCGTTGTACAGTATATTGAGACGGAGGCACCACAACTGCAACTGATAGAATGCACACTGTAGCACGATACTTCGATATTTCTTCAAAAGCAGATCGAGGAGACATTTTAATCGTCCATGAACAAAAATCATGATGTCGCACACCCCTAATTTAAATGGACATTTTTTTGTCACTGAATAATGCACATGCTTATATTTGTGTTATTTCACAGTTGTGGTGGCTTTACTATTATGTTAAATGTTTCTTAAAATAAGTAAAAAATAACATGTCCAAACTTTTGTCAGTTAGTCGACCCCTTCCTGCCTAAGTGGGCGGTTCTTGGCTAGAATAAGCTTCAGTGTGGGCTAGACTTCATGCCTATAGTCAAAAGTCTGGCTACACAAATCCAGTGTGTATGTGTGTTCTGATGTTAAGAAAAATGCTGCAGGGCATAGCTCGTTGTCTTCCCAGTAGCAGGTTGGTCTGCATCTTTGAGACTTCACTGGCCTCTTATGCCCTTGAGCCCCGTGTGCCTGATCTCTTCAGCTGCTGTGTGGTTCTGAGAGGCGTCGTGCTCTTGTAATGTGAGAGCATGCCTGTGTGTTTGTGCATCCATACATACATTCATGTGATGAGCCCTCTCTGTGGTCTCATCTGTCTCTCTGGCCTGTTGCTTCACTGACAACCAACACACTGTGCTGACACACACAGCACTCATCAGTCACAGGGGTCAGTGCAGAGGTCAGTTCCAATGTGTTTCTCAGAGGCGAGAGTGGATAAGAGCTCAATACCCCGCTGTCCAGGACTATGACCTCTGACCTCACATCATTACAGTCCTACAGCACAAACATGAACCCCCTCATTCTCACACCAGCGCTGAAGTCCTCCAGAGAGGAGGATCACATCCCAGGATGACATTGTAAATGGAACGCACTCGAATACCACATCTTCTGTTGCTTAGTCGAAATGGTGCATGATGGGAAAAAATGTCCTCTGACAGAACAGCAGGGTTTTATAACATTTTCTCTTAAACCGGCTGAACATTTTGCGCTTTTTTGCTGTCCTCTACAGTTGCTGCTTGTCAGATAGTACGGTACGGTGCGTCCTGGATGAGATCTTGGGTAAAGCCCACGGCAGATTTTAAGTGACATTCCTCAGTGACATTAACGTTCTTATGTCAGACTGTACAATGCGCATCGAAGCTGGGATTTTAGACACGATTGACAGCGTTGAGCGTCTAGAGCGCAGCAATGCGGCCTAAAAATTCTGAACCTGCCAGAAGATTCATTACAAAGGCAATTTATCGGCCGTCACAGAGCATGATGCATTAATAGATCCAAGACTGCCGATTTTGTAGTACGATGAAAGAAATCTGCAGCATACATTCGGCCGTGTTCAAGACAACTGTAAGACTTCATAACTGCTAAAGCTCAAGTGAAGACTGACAAGTTTTTGGTGGAACTCAAATGGAATAAGACTCAAGGGTAGTGAATAGCAATGTTGTACAGTGTTGTAGGTTGGTGAAGTGTCTTTTAGGGTAGATCCCTTCATGACTGTGCCTGTTTGCTTTGACAGATCTTCCGACCGCGGGTGGTGACTGAGGCCTTTCTCATCAAATTTGGAAAACTGTTGGTGAGTCTCTCAGATTTATTGATTATTGTTAAATTGTCTTGTATATGTTTCCTTTTTTAAGCCGTTTGCTATACACACATGCACTACTGTTCAAAAATTTGGGGTCGGTGAGATTTGTTCTTTGAAATATTACAATTTCAAATAACAAATGGTTTTAATTTATGTATGTATGTACACTATATTGCCAAAAGTATTGGGACACTCCCCTTCTAATGAACAGGTTTGACCACTTTAGTAATTTCCATGAGTACAAATCTTAATGTTTAAGCATATAATGATATTCTAGGGAATTGCGTGCTTCTAATTTTATAGCAACAGTTTGGACAGGACCCTTTTCTATTCTAACATGATACCGCGCGGCGGCGGGACATGCTTTTACATCAATGAGAGGTGGTGTACAGGTGTAACTGTGTTAAAGAAGATGTGCTGTTCAGATCTAGAAGTGCTCTTCATTAATTGCAAGCCGTTCTACTTGCCGCGGGAGTTTTGCTCGTTCATTCTCGTCAGTGTCTACATTCCTCTGCAAGCACACGTGAGCTCCGCTTTACAACAACTCGCTGATCTGATCACGGACACAGAACAACAACACCCGGACTCTGTTTTAATCATTCTCGGGGACTTTAATAAAGCCAATCTCTCCCGTGAACTGCCAAAATACAGACAGCACATCACATGTCCCACCAGAGACAGTAATATATTGGATCACTGTTACACCACAATAAAGAATGCATATCACTCGGTCCCACGGGCAGCTTTGGGACTCTCTGATCACTGGTTCATCTAATACCGACCTACAGGCAGAAACTGAAATCAGCTAAACCTGTATTAAGGACCGTAAAAAGATGGACTAATGAAGCAGAGCAGGATTTACAAGCTTGTTTTGACTTCACTGATTGGAGCGTTTTTGAAGCTGCTGCCACCGATCTGGACGAGCTCACAGAGACCGTAACATCTTATATCAGTTTTGGAGCTCCTCAGGGTTGTGTTCTCTCTCCACTGCTCTTCTCCCTGTACACCAACGACTGCACCTCTAAAGACCCCTCTGTCACGCTCCTGAAGTTTGCAGACGACACCAGACTCATCAGCCTCATTCAGGACGGAGACAAGTCTGCTTACAGACAGGAGGTCGAGCAGCTGGCTGTCTGGTGCAGTCTCAACAACTTGGAGCTCAACACACTCAAAACTGTGGAGATGACCGTGGACATCAGGAGAAACCCCTCTGCACTCCCCCCACTCACCGTCATGGACAGCACTGGGACTGCAGTGGAGTCATTCAGGTTCCTGGGCACCACAATCTCTCAGGACCTGAAGTGGGACACTCACATTGACTCCATTGTGAAAAAGGCCCAGCAGAGGTTGTACTTCCTTCGCCAGCTGAGGAAGTTCAACCTGCCACAGGAGCTGCTGAAACAGTTCTACTACGCCATTATTGAATCTGTCCTCTGCACTTCAATAACTGTCTGGTTCAGCTCAGCTACCAAATCTGACCTCAGAAGACTTCAGAGGGTAGTCCGGACTGCTGAGCGAATCATTGGTACAACCCTCCCTTCTCTCCAAGAACTGTACTCATCCAGACATACCTGGCAATAAAGCTCATTCTGATTCTGATTCTGATTCTGATTCTACCTCTGTGTATAAGGCAAGGTTCAAAAAGAAATTACTGATTCAGTCAGTGTGGAAGAACTTGACTGGTCTGCAGAAAGTCCTAATCCCAGCTGAACACCTCTGGTGTGACTTTAAATGCAGACCTTGAGCCAAAAATCACCAAATATCAATGACTTGTACATACACTATATGGACAAAAGTATTGGGACACCCTTCTTTAGAACATAAAAAGGCACTTCCAAAACTGTGGCAACAAAGATGGAAACATAATTCTTGTATTTAAAAATTGTATTTCCATCTCTGTTTCAACAGTTTTGGAAGTGTCTAAAATGACTGTACCCATATGTTCAAGTCATTGGTGTTTGGTCATTGATTGGTGTAGTCATTGATGTTTAGATATCAAGATTTGTACCCTAGAATATCATTATATGCTTAAACATTAAGATTTGTACTCATGGAAATTGCTTATTAAAGTAGTCAAACCTATTCATTAGAATGGGGTGTCCCAATTAGGGAAGCTCTGATACCACTTTTTCCAGTACTCGGCCGATACCGATACTTTTGTTTTTGGTACTTGCCGGTACTGAGTACCGATACCAGTATTTTCATTTCATATTTTCAACATAATGTTAGTTGGTTAACTTCATTTATCAAATAGATATATCCTTCAGTTATTTTCACACTTAATTATGCCCATTAAAATGTATTTTACAAGTTTTAGTTACTTTCACTGTTAATTTTTTGCTCTATGGTACATCTTTAATTTAATAGCATTAGAACTGCTCCATTGCAGCGGCTCAGTACTGTAACCACGCGTTTTACTGTAATAATGCAGGGAACCACTCGCCATAAATCTTTCCGAAATATAACTAGCGTGTTTTCATCTGAAACGTGCTGCGATTTATATTCCAAAGTGACTCACATAATACAGAAACAAGCAAAGCAAGCAAAACATGTGCAACGCATGCACATATTTGTATTGGTGCAGAATGAGAGGGACAAGTACAGTACAGCCTAGCGCATTTACACTGGCTGATAGTTTCACTTTCGCCATAAAGTCATTTATGCTTAAGGTTAAAAATAAATGTTGTTTATAGTGAATGCCCCTATAAATGTTGTTTTATATTTACGATTTAGTTTTAAGTTTAGTTTTAATCCAAATGATGCGTGGGCTCTACCGTTAAGTAACGTAACTTGTGCATTGTTTTTGACACATATGACCGAACTACAAACTTTCCAGTGATGTCTGTGAGAAGGGGATATTAACTCGACAAGCTCGCGCATCTGCGCCGCTGCACGGTCAATCCACTCAGCGTGCTTTGCTTATCAGCTCGCGCACATCAGCTATACAGGCATTAATACTGAATGTTTGCGACTTACAAATGAGGACAATGGAAGCAATCAAAATCAACAAAAGAGCAATGATATACAAGTGCTATAACAAGTCTCAGTTAGCTGAACACAGTACACGTAGCAAGGTTTTTTTTAATAATATAATAAATAAAAAGAAAACGGATAGAATAAAAAAATAATAGAGCAAGTTAGTGTTAGAGGTATTTTTTGCTTTTGTTAATTGTATAATAAATGAAAAGAAAACTTTTTTATTCATTTATTTATTTATTTTTTAATAAATAATAAATTAAAGTATATTAAACTTAATATAAGTCCATATTAATTGCATATACTTCGTAGACATCCTTAATCTCTAATAATAACTCCATTCTGCTGTCTGTTGTTTTGTTGTCTGTGTTTCATTGTCTGAATATGGCACTTATCACATGCTGTGTGGTATCGGCGTTTGGTATCGGGGCATTTTAACGAGTACGAGTACAGGAGCTCAGTATCGGCCCTAGTCCCAATACATTTGGCAATATAGTGTATGCATGTGTACTGTATGTATGTATTAAAATTAAATTTTTTCTTGTGATGGCAAATCTTTCTGATTCCAAATGTCTGCATATATTGTCTTCTTTTCTTTTTTTCCTTCTATTATTGTTAAAGGTTTTCTTTAAATTCAGCAATTTTGTGTCCATCTTTAATTACATTTTATTAGACATAGCAGTCATCCTGTCTGTAAATATTAGAATCTGTTTTGACATTGGCCATTTAATTACGCTGTTACGGGTCCAATAAGTGGTAGTAGTTTTTCTTCATAACTCACTTAGTGAAAATGAATGAATGATAATAAAATATGTAATTTTGATATCTCTTTTCTCTTTCATTATGGAAAGCATCACATAACCTCCATTGACTCTAATGAGACAAGTTTGGGAAGTACTATAGGTAAGTTTTTATTGATTGCAGTTTTATTGTTCTACTTTCTTTAGTGTTCAATACACTTTGATATACGGCTCGAGTGTAATTTAGCTCCAATTTTCCAGACATGTTGTTTTTCAGGAGATCAAATGTAGTTAAATTATTGATGTTTTTCAGTGTAATATTTGTTTTTCAGCCATTAGCTGAAAATTAATTGTTCAAAAGTGAGATACCTACCTTTATGCTTTCTATGAGCATCTCTTCCACAACTAACAGGTCAAGCAGCATCTGAGGAGCTGATCAGAAACACACTATCTGCAGTAGAGGCCATTTCCCAACATCCTGCTCTTCTCAGCCTCTATCACTGCACTGTGAGTATATGCCATTCTTTGATGTTCTGATTTTAATTTTGTCTCTCCCAATTATTTATAAATTATTTATGCATTTAAGCTTTCCAACAGCATTTAGCTACTCATAATATAATAACTGCACATAATGTAATAAATATGACATTATTATTGTAATAAAATGTTCATAATGTAATAATTTTCTCAAAATGTAATAAAATATTGAGCTCATAATGTAATAATTTTTCAATGTATTAACATTTTTTCACATAATGTAATAGGTTATTGTATGAGAACTGTATTACATTATGAACACAATGTGGCAACTTATAATGTAATCACAGTTCATAAGGTAATATCAGCACATAATTTAAAACCATTATTATTATGTTTACAATATCATAAATATCTTTCAATATAATAAATTTGAGCACAAAACATAATCATAGTTTTATTAAAAGAAAATTAGGCTACATTGTGAACTTCTATTTTTTTTATAAAAAGCTTACTAATTTTGTGATTATGACGTACTTAATTTTTGAGACATAGGCCTGGTTTCACAGACAGGGCTTAGACTAAGCCAGGATTAGGCCATAGTTCAATTAGGACATTTAAGTAATTTTTTTATAAACGTGCCTTAGAAAAAACATTACTGGTGAGCATTTTGAGACAAAATAAAGGCACTGATATATTTAAGATCTGTCAGAGCAAGTTTCTTTCAGTTGAAACAGCTCAGACTTAGATTTTAGTCTGCCATTAAGCTTAAGCCTTGTCTGTGAAACCGGGGGATAGTCATTTAAATGGTTGTTATAAAAACTTGTTAATATTAAGAAAATATTAACCCCGTCCTCTACTCAATATTCCGTTTCAGTTGGAAATACGCCACCACACTGAAATCCAGTTGGCAGCAACTTCCGGTTCACGTGGACTTTAAAGTACATATGTCAGCAAACTGTGCTCTTTCAAAGACGTGCATTTAATGCATGGCCTAAGTAAGAACATAATCAAAGTGTTTAAAACATGCAAAGAAGGATTGCCAACTGTTGGCCAACACATTGCCAATGTGTATTGGCTAAATAACAGCAAAAATATTTTGACTGTCCCTTATACTGGGTTGCTTATACTTTATTATAAATATAATTATGACAATATTACTATATTTTTGGTCAGTTTATAATGTACCGTATTGACCCGAATATAAGACCATGTTTTTTTCTTGGAAATACATCTGAAAAAATGCGGTCGTCTTATATTCAGGGTCTAGACTTTGACATGTCAATAATACACCCACAACAGTAGGTGGCGCCAAATACGCATAAAACAAGTGTGCCATGAAATACGTAACGTAATGCGTGTTGTAAAGATCGCAAAGTAAAAACAGAAGAGAAAGAAAACCTTACAGCTGCATGAGTCGTGACTGTCACGTTATTCTGATGGGACCAAACTCCCTTTGTGATTTTAAAACGTAAGACAGTACCCAGATTTGAAGACTACAGTAAGATTTAACTTCTACTGTTAATAAGATTTTGGTAGGCTACTATTAGATGGATAGCCTAAATGTCCTAATTCAGATGGGCTACCTGTTTTTTTTTTTTTTTAATGGTATATCAAAAAGTGTATATTTTTTAAATGTGATTGTTGGTACAGGTACATTTGACCAGTTTTTACCATACTTTCAAAACAAAAATTAAAAATGTATTTTACTGAGAAAAAACAAGATTTGGTTCTAAAAGTTTTCTAAAAGGTATATCTGGAAAAAGGGGGGTCGTCTTATAATCAGAGTCATCTTATATTCGGGCCAATACGGTAATACATTTCTCATAATGTAATAATTGTTATTACATTATGAACTCGAGATTTTATTAAATTGAGAAAATTATTACATTATGAAAATGTTATTACAATAATAATGTAATACTTATTACATTATGTGCAGTTTTTACATTATGAGTTGCTACAGCTACATTTTGTTGAAGTGTGCGATGGGAGAATTGCACTGATTTTGAACTCTGTTTGTCTCCCAACAAAAGTGTGCGCAAGGTGTCGATAAAAATTTTCTGGCAAAGTTAGTCTCTAAACTCTCTATTTGACCCCATGCAGATGGTAAAACTTCCCTTCCATAAGGACAGGCTCACAAACACAATACATCAAGCTGTGTTTCAAAGCAGCAAGGGCCACATTCATGTCTAACCTGAGATCTCACATCCTCACGCCTGACGGAGCTACAGCTGAGATCACGGCTCCCCTCTGCCCAGCACTATTATTCTCACAAACCTCTCGGCAACAGGAAATCACTCAGGAGTGAAGAGAGTGTGTATGTGTGTATATCTCTCTGGGTGTGAGGCTTTTGTAATGAGTATTGACGTGCGTTCTGTAGGACTGATCCATCAGGAAGCGTTGAGAGGACACAGACTCTCTGATACTCTATAATAGAAGAAGGCACCTTAATTACAGTTCACCAGGAGTCATTAAATCCCATTCTTCACTCTCAAAACACACACACTCACTCCATATAGCATGTGAATGACTATAGTTTATTGAAACTGATATTCTTGAGGGTTATAGACACAAAGGCTGTTCATAAAGGGGGTAATGCCATTGAAGAACTGTTTTGGATACCCCAAAGAACCTTTCAGTAAACTGTTCTTAAAGGAGAAATTGGATGCCCATTTTCCAAAAGTTGGTGTAATATTTTTTTTGGCCTTCATAGGGTCTTCAGTGAGGTATTAGTGTAAAATAACCCCCTCTTTACCTTGTCAAAAACAGCTCTGTTCACAGCGACCCGTTTCGGTGCATGTCTCTTTAAATACTAATGAGCTCGGCTGACTCCGCACCTCTTTTCCCTTCTTGCTTTAAAGTCACCTTTCTTATTCATGCAGTTATAACTGCTCAAAAATGATTTAAAATACATTTGTAAATGACTTATTAGTCATTAACAAACACCTTTATAAACCCTCTACAAAGGTAACATTAATGTAGTGTTACCATGTTATCCTTACAGAAAACGTACACTGTTTGCAATAAGACAATCACCTTAATGCATTTTTCATTATAAACGTGTGGTTATGAATTATACTGAGAAGGTTCTAAATAGAAATGACAACACAACAATGTTTTCTGAGACTGTTGACTTTAGCCACATTCGTCATGGAACTTAATAGCACATTATTTGGAAAGTACCATGGTACCGAATCATCCTTCAGGAACAACTTTTTATCAAAAACCTGCTTTGTACTGACCCTCATTTACAAAGCAATCTGGTGTAAAATGATTCGCACAAACATAATTGCATTTATCGGGGCACATTCCCGTCAAAAACAAAAGTAATCAACAGAGTCTTCAGCGGCTCAGATGTCGGGAGTAAATGACGACTACTATGTTCATTATTACATCCAACAACAGAACACCTCAATCGCTTTGAAACAATTTCAGACTGTTTACAGCTCACTCAGGGCAAGTGTGTGCTAAAACGGCAGTGTCCATCAACAGTCGTGGGAGGGGCCTTGGCAAAGTTATGTCACTTTGCCCAGAATCTATGAATGGCTGGCTCTGAGAAAGTGCTTATCATTTGTGGGGATTTAAAAAAAAAAAAACACTGGGTGTATTTTTATCATTATAGAGTGGTTAAGTTCAAACACCATGTAAAAGTGAAATGTGCTTCTTATAGCATGAAAAACATTTTAATAAAGAAAAAAACTTTTATCTTTGATCATCAAAATGACATATTTAAATGTTTTTTCTTGCGAAAATAATTTTCTCATGCCTTAAAATAGCTTGAATGTACAGTAACTCTACATCCTTGCCTCATTTACTATACGCGGATCTATGAATATGCAAATTATACATACACGGCATACACGGATAATGACTGATAAAACTATGTTTTTACTAGCGGACAACAGTGAACAGTTACTACAGTGAATAATGTTACATTCGTTAAAGTTACTTACTTGACGATGTTGTGTCCCAAAATTCCTTGAAGACTCGAATGCAGCCGTTTGTGATTGTTAATTCGCGCCCGCGAGCATACGCATGTGAAGTGCTCCGGGCTACTTTTACACTGTTGCCACGGGTTATAATGCAAGTTAGCGGTTCTAAATTCACATTAAACCACAGCTTCATGGGTTTTTTGCTCTGATTTATTTTTGGTTTTGTGCTGATATTGGTATATTTTGCATGCTAGTGATAGGAATCCATCCCTTGACGTGATTGGTTATTGGTTTGTGACGTAGCAAACCAAGGGCTGTTTCAAACCATATTTCTGGGTCAGCCTTTGGGAAACTACAGTTTTAAGGAGAAAATACACAGCAATGGTGTTGATTAATAGATTGGCACATGGTTTGTCTAAAAGCATATTAAAAACCACATAGACAAATAAACAACATAAAAAACTTCATTACAGGGGGACTTTAAAGAACCTTTTGTGCGATGGAAAGGGTCCATGGAGGGTTCCTCATGGAACCACAGATGCCTTCATATTGTTGGCAGCTAAATAAGTTGATTTCTATATGATTTCCAAAAATGCTGTGAAGTTATAAGGCCCAATCCCATTTCTACCCCTTAGCCCTTCCCCTTTCCCGTTCCGCGCATTCACGTGAAGGGGTAGGGGTGTCTCGATTCTCTTTTGGTTGGAAGGGTAGGGGTAGGGGTAGGGGAAGGGCCAGATAGCCCTTCAAACGAAGATTTTTCGGGACCACATTTCAAACAAAGGGGTATGAATTATCTCAGCGTAAACTGGCTTCAGCGGGAACATGGCTGCCCGAGCAAACAAAAAGACACATAAATGTAAGCATTTTTGGCATTAATAAAGATTTTACCGAAAAGTAATCATTTGTTTTATGTTACATTCAATCGTGAGTTCATATTTACGGTCATGTTACTCAAAGAAATGTTTGCAAAAAATCGCTAAAGATTGTTAACGTCATATCATTACTGCACAATAGTGCCACAACATATTTTCATGTCTGATCAGGGTGATAACCACCGTGGACATTGAGGGGGGCTAGTCCCCCCAATAACTAGAAATCGCTAAACCCTTTTCTAAAATATTGCTAATTCGAGAGAGAGAGAGAGAGAGAGACAGAGAGATGAAAGTTGTGTGTATGCGCGTCTGGTCGTTTCTCTTTTTAGAGTGAGTTTACTTCAAAAACAATGATTTTATCCTCTCGTTGCTGGAAAATATAATGTAGCGATTCAGTATTTAAACTGTTATTAATAAAAGTCGTGGGGCAGTGTTGACAAGTTTATATTCTCCTGGATGTGTGAGCTGCGCGATCTCTGATATGTGTGTGTGTGTGTGTGAGTAAGCAGCACATTAATATAGAACGGTAATTAAAGGCTCTAATGCACACCAGTATAGGTGTGTGTATTGTAGGAGCTAGACGACGTATGATGACGTGTGACGGTGTAGTAGTAGTGTCCCAATTCTTAGGGGAATATTTTCACCCCTACCGACCTGCGGTCCCCATGAGGCAAAAAAAAATAAAAGAGAGAGACAGAGAGATGAAAGTTGTGTGTATGCGCGTCTGGTCGTTTCTCTTTTTAGAGTGAGTTTACTTCAAAAACAATGATTTTATCCTCTCGTTGCTGGAAAATATAATGTAGCGATTCAGTATTTAAACTGTTATTAATAAAAGTCGTGGGGCAGTGTTGACAAGTTTATATTCTCCTGGATGTGTGAGCTGCGCGATCTCTGATATGTGTGTGTGTGTGTGTGAGTAAGCAGCACATTAATATAGAACGGTAATTAAAGGCTCTAATGCACACCAGTATAGGTGTGTGTATTGTAGGAGCTAGACGACGTATGATGACGTGTGACGGTGTAGTAGTAGTGTCCCAATTCTTAGGGGAATATTTTCACCCCTACCGACCTGCGGTCCCCATGAGGCAAAAAAAAATAAAATTAAATACTAAATGATGTTTATCTGAAAGTGTAACAATACAAACAGGTTTTCTGTAAGGGGTATGTTTAGGTTTAAGGTTAGGGGATAGAAAATACCATTTCGTCAGTATAAAAGTAATAGAAGTCTATGGAAAGTGCGCATTTCTAAGAACTCAGCACATGTGTTTAAAAGGAGATTTTTAATGAGATTTTTAAAAGGTATTCCTTTACTTTATCAATTACACTTTTTTATTCATCATTGACCCATATAATGGCTGTCTTGGTAGACAGCTCACAAAGTTTGATTCTAAGTGTTCAAACATACCTCAACTAAGCTACAGAGAAAGAATTACCATTATACTGACATTCACGACAAATGTTTCATAAGGTGTGGACAAGAGATCAAAGATGTGCCGCAGGTTTAGCATAGTAGCTGTACAATACTTGCAGCTCAGTGAAAAAAACTTGGTGTCTTACAATAGAGACAGAAGAAGAGAAAAATTCATAACCTTTACAATATGTTTCTTTGGTGTTCTTTTCACTTAGAGTCAGAGAGAGTGAAAATCCTTTGTTTGAGAGATGCCCACAGCCAGCCACATTAAGACACCTGTGCGCAACATTTGCTGCCGTGTGGCTGATTGTAGTTGGTAATAATCGTAAAACCTGATTCTAATTTTCAAAAGAGCTGGCGTAAGGCCTTTTGTTGGAACACACTTTCTGTGATCAAAGGGCAGAGCTGACATCACATTTCCATGCAAATTGGAGCTGTTCAGAGCACTCTCCCAGTCTTCCGCTTCCAGCTGTTTCACTTTCACTCACGCCGTGTGTGTGGTCTGGTGAGACTAAGCACATATAGGTGAGATTTCTCACTTGTAGAGTAATGCAGACTTCTCTCTTTGTTTCCCCAAGGTTGTGGATTTGATTGTACCACCGCTGGCGTCTCTGGCCTTCAGTAAGAATGGTGAGAACACACTTCAGCTGCAAATAAGCAAACACAATTATACACTACCAGTCAAGGTTTGACACATTATTCATTCTTTTTTATTACTATTGTCTACATTTTTGAATAATAGTAAAGTCATCAAAACTATGAAATGGCACAAATGGAAGCAAACAAATTGGAAGTTTCTTGGGTCCTGTGGACTGAGATGCTCATAGAACCCATTTCTTCTTCTTCTTCTTCTTCTTCTTCTTGTGTGTATATAAATATATACACGCATAGATGTATATATATTCTGTACACACAAGGATGTATATATACATATTAGGGGTGCAATGTTTCAACTTACTCACGGTTCAGTTTGTATCATGGTTTTAGAGTCACGGTTTCGGTGCGGTTCGGTATGTGCTATGTTTAGGGAAAAAATTATATTGTCAAATAAAAATAATGAAGATAACAAATAATCTTACTACAAGCAACAGCACAAATACATACAATAGATACAAATAAAATAAACAGTGCTTTTCAGGTTTTTTAGGTAGGTCTAACATTAGTTTTTAGGTACAGAAATTGAATAAAGTAATCAAATGAAAAATAACATTGCATATTTGACTGTATAAATTAAAGATTAATCTTTATTAAAGTTACAAAAGTTATTCAATCAAGAGCAGTGAGTGATTTCCATATTGTTGCTGTTTGATTAACATTAAGAAAGTCACTTTAAGATTCAGTGCACTGATACTGTACGTTCAGCCGACTATGTCTGCTAGGATACTCACCACGATGGGCATTTTGACATAATTTTTGAGTGAATTTGTCCATTTAAGCACAATACTTCAAAGAGAGCTTAATATTTGCGCGCATCGGATGAGCGCACACACAGATCTTCTCACTGAGTGCACAAGTTCGGGTCTTCTGGCTCTTTAATATTTAAACTGGCCAGGCTTACATGAGTTTAGTTTAAACGCAGATAGCAACGTGTGCTGTTCAGGTCTCACCTGCGTTATCAACACGCGATGACAGCATAAATGACAGTTATTCCAACATACAGCACTCGCATTGAACAAAGAGTGACTGGTTTGTCCACGTATTGTTTTTTTTTCTCTCATCGCTCTTGTTGTAATTGTAGCGTCTGGACCAATCAAACACACAATTTTTTGTTTGATTTAACAAATCAGTTATTCATTAGATTAACAAAACGTTCACAGACCCCTCACCCAATAAACATACTGGGTGCCAAGTTGTCTGTGAACAGGGCCCAGGACCCTGGTTACCATGGCAACCCTGACACCAGATACATTTTACGACCTAATGGCATGTTGAGAGTCACCCCTCTCACTACAATTTCCATAGGAAATCCACAGTGCACAGTGAAAAATGTACTCTTCTCTAATTAATTAATAGGAAAACTTTTCTTTGAATGAACACACATATCCTTCAGGTTATTGTGTATATTATTGCTGTCTTGTATATTATCTGTTGTATTGTAGACTAGTTTATGCATGCTTATGATAGAACCACTCATTCATGTAACCTTACATATAACGTGTTTGGTCTCTATTAATTCGTATTCGGATGATCTAATTGAGAGTGTATATAGTATGTTTATATCTATGCAACATATTAGTGTTCTAAGAATCTTTACTAGTTTGTGCATCAACACCCAAGCAAATTACATATGCGAAATACCATGCTTAGGGACAAAGGGTCGTAAAAACCCCATAATGTATTGGGAAGCCAGAATTTGTATCCATCAACAGAAACATGCATTAGCGAACTCTAACAAACCATATTGCAGATGCATTGTCAGATTTAAGTTGAACCGCGGTCCTAGTGTGTGGGGAATGGTACAGTTCAATTCTTTATCGAGAACCGTTGCACCCCTAATACATATATATATATATATATTTGTGCATTTGTGCATCTATGTATAAAACCCTTGTGCTTCTATGCATGTAAGTATATATCTAACCCTTCTGCTGTGTGTGTCCCAGTGGAATGGCGTAATGTGAGTTTGCGTGTGCTGTCAGAGATCACGCAGCTGCTACTGAGCCAAGATGAGGTGGAGGAGGGAGAGAACGAGAGGCAGAGTGGGAAGGTGAAGACATCTCCTCCAACACTCGCTTGCTGACGCTCATCTCTGAGGCCCTGCTGCCGGTTCAATTCTTTATCGAGAACCGTTGCACCCCTAATACATATATATATATATTTGTGCATTTGTGCATCTATGTATAAAACCCTTGTGCTTCTATGCATGTAAGTATATATCTAACCCTTCTGCTGTGTGTGTCCCAGTGGAATGGCGTAATGTGAGTTTGCGTGTGCTGTCAGAGATCACGCAGCTGCTACTGAGCCAAGATGAGGTGGAGGAGGGAGAGAACGAGAGGCAGAGTGGGAAGGTGAAGACATCTCCTCCAACACTCGCTTGCTGACGCTCATCTCTGAGGCCCTGCTGCCACAGTAAGACTCACCACTCAATTACCTATATTCTGCTCTCTCAGTTTACTCCTCCATCCTCTCTATTTATTAAAACTAAGATTGTGTCCTAACCAGGCATGATGTGATGCGAAGCTTCTAGCAACAAGCAATTTGTCTGTGCACACTGAATGCACACAATAGCTGTCAAGGGTCAAGAGATATTTCATGCTTAATGTACAGCGTGGTTTTGGACCAGTGATATTTATTGAGTGTGACACAAATAGAAACCAAGTCATTGACAAAATGTCTTGTCACTCATTGTGTGTCACGGTTGCAAGTGGTTAGGATAAAAACTCGGATGAAGAACTAGAAAGTGAAGGATTCTGTAGCTTGTTGATGCATGTTCATGGAAAATCTTCATGTAGCAGAGACATTTTAAATTATGATATACCAGTAAAAGTGAAATGATTGCAGTTTTATAAAGTCATTTAAATTTCTAGAGTGAACAGATTTTGCTAGCTTTCTAATTTAATCCAATTAAATTTGGAACAATTCATAGCTAATTCCAAATTCAAATGGCACAGGCATGTGTTAGAATACCATTTTAGGGTAGAAAAACAACCATCATTTACTTACATTTCTAAAGTGGATTCTGTTCTGGATAATGCTAATAATAATTTGGTTCGAATGAAAACTGATTCTGAATAATGATGCAGAAAGTTTTTACTCATTTCACTTTTAAAAAGATTAACCAATCATAATTGAGATAATATTCAAATATAAGTCTTAAATGTATAGTGTTCCTATAGCTCATGGTTTCAGATAGTCATTCCAGGGTTTAATTAATGCAAATTCAACTAATCCCTGCATTATTTGTGGCATTTTTGTCTTATTTCTGCAATTTTTTCCAGAAAAAAAGAGAGGCAAGTGATCTTTCCAAATCATCCATTCATTATAACAACAAATATCTTTGTCTTTTCAACCTATTTGCCAATCCAGACAAGATAGATGCGGCTACGTGAGCGATTCTTTCTCGTTTGATGAAATTAAAGTTTATAGGTTAAATTGTCAAAACATTAATTAAATAAAAATATTTAACATTTATAATACACAATGACAGTTTATTTTTGTTATGTGAGTTTTCACTGCACAGCAACAACAAAAAATGACACAAATATCAACGCCATTTTTATGAAAAGCCACATTGAGTTCCCATAAGGGGACTGATTCAGTTCCTAGAGAATGCATCCACAACGTATAAAAGTTACAATGGTTGATAACCTCTTCAATGACTGTTGTCATGAATTTACTTGTATCCTACTGTAGACGTTTTGCATAGCTTTTGTTTAATGCAGATTTTCTCTGCAGGTATGAGACTCTGCTTCTGGTGTATGCTCTCAAACTGCTGGTGTCGCTCACTGAGCACAGCTCACCCATCAGCAGGTAACCAATAACACTCTCCATGTACACAGCTATTCCTACATACTGTGGATAAAATACCTTTTTTTGTTATTATTAAGTGAAACACACTTCCTTAATTCAACAAGTTGCACAGGTACACCAAATCCCCTTCCTTTTTGTGTAACCCTCAAGATGAACCCCTCACACATCTCATTCTGTAAACGGGTGATGCGCTATAGAATGATAGCCACCATGCTGTTACTCATATAGTACACTTTTTCTCACTCTCGCTCTCTGTTTCCAGTAGGCAGTGGTACGATCTGGTTTACTTTGAATCCCATACTCTAACCACAAGACAACAGCTTGTCCTTTAATTAATAATACTAACTAATAATGTATTCTTAGTATTACAGAACAGTATACTAAGAATTTTTGCAGGAAAAATGGACAGATGAACTTCTAAGATTACCAGCGATACAAGGCAGAAGACTGTCTTGAGGCATTTCTTTCTTATGTGTTTCTGAACTCAACCTTATTAGTTTATTGATCCTGAAATTGTTAAAGTAGGTCATGCCGAGCAGTAATGAACTTCAGAGATGCCGCACATAGTTTCTAACTACATCCACAGACTGTTTTATGCTACTCTCGCGCTCTCTCTCTCTCTCTAATATATATAAATATAAATAAATCTATGAGATAATTTGTTAATATGATTTGAAGGCTCTAAATCTGTCTCTCTTGTGGGTCTTAGCTTCGTTTGGAGTAGTAGCTTAAATATATAATGGCTGATACATACACAATCGTCCTCTGATTTTCTCAAAATCTTCGTCTCTTTTGTCTTTCATTTCCTGCCCTGTTCTTACCACTTCTCTCTGTGGGCTGTAATGAGTGTCTGGGTGCACAGGTGAGGGAGTGTGTGTGTGTTTCTTATCTCATCCTCATCCCCCCGCTGTTTCTCTAATAACATGACTTTGCAAATAAAGGACATCAGCAGGAGTGTCTTTAATTATGAATATAATTTGCGATAGTAGTTCAAAGTTTTCAAGTTATTTACCCAAGACTGTAAAAAATTGCTATAGTGAATATATATATATATATTTTTTCTACATATTGTCCTATCACGTTTACTGTTGGCCAAACAGATTTTGTGTCTGTTTTTAACGCAAATTCGGCCCGTTGACCAACAGAATGCTTGATTTGAAAAAAGTAAAATTATTTTGCATTTGCCAGCACTTAAAAAATGTGAATCTTCATTTTACAATAATGATTATATTACAATGTAATTACATTGGTACAGAAGTATTCTGATGTACTTACTATCTAATAATTTTGTGAAGTCACAGTAACATGCGACAGATTCTACAAGGTTGCTTTTGCAAAGTTAATATTGATTAAATACAGGTCAAATGGTTGCAGTCTTTTGTTTTTATTAGGGATACACCGATACTGGTATCGGTATCGGGCCCTATACTGAGCTCCTGTACTGGTACTCGTACTCGTTAAAATGCCCCGATACCAAACGCCGATACCACACAGCATGTGATAAGTGCCATATTCAGACAAAGAAAAACTGACAACAGAACAACAGACAGCGGAATGGAGTTAAGGATGTCTACTACGAAGTATATGTGTGCAATGAATATAATATTAAACATTCAGTATTAATGCCTGTATTGCTGATGTGCGCGAGCTGATAAACAAAGCACGCTGAGTGGATTGAGCGCGCGGCGATGCAGATGCGCGAGCTTGTCAAGTGAATATATCTTTCTCACAGACATCACTGGAAAGTTTGTAGTTCGGTCAGATATGTCAAAAACAAGTAAAACAATGCACAAGTTACTTAACGGTATGGAGAGACAGAGAGAGAGAGAGCGCACACTTCTGTTGTGTGATCTTTGATGTTCACTCACTTAGCACATGCATCATTTGGATTAAAACTAAATCGTAAAAATAAGACCATTTATAGGGGCATTCACAATAAACATCATTTATTTTCAACCTTAAACATACACGACTTTCAGGCGAAAGGGAATCTAGCAGCCTGTGTGAAATGCGCTAGGCTGTACTATTCTGCATCAGTACAAATACGTGCACGCGTTGCGCGTGTTTTGCTTGCTTGAGTGTTTCTGCATTATATGAGTGACTTTGGAATATAAATCGCAGCACGTATTCAGATGAAAAAACGTGACTTCTATTTCTGAAAATATCACAGTTAGGAGATGTATAACGAGTGGTTCCCTGCATTATTACAATAAAGCTATTGATAGTTGTGTAAATACTGTCATACTAACAGCTGTCTAATTTTTGGTTGATTGTAATCTATTACATACCTTTCTATCAAAATTATCTAACATTATCAAGCTGAATTTGTTCTGACACAGTTTAACTCTGAGTTCTTGTCATATTTTATTACCATTTTCTAAACTATAGCGAATAAACTGTGATAATGTGAGAAATGTTGAAGGTGTCTGAATACATTTTGGTTTGACTTTATCTATTTGATAAATTAAGTTAACCAACTAACATTATACATACTCTTGGTTTCTGTACCCAATATTTAAAAAATGTATAAATGCAATAAAAATATTGGTATCGTTACTCGGTATCGGCAAGTACCAAAAATAAAAGTATCGGTATCGGGCGAGTACTGGAAAAAGTGGTATCGGTGCATCCCAAGTTTTTATTATCATCATTATTATTTTTGTCCTAGCATTATGTCCTGTGCTAGTGTAGATGAGGTGGTGTCTTTCTGCACTAGTGGAGGTGTCTTTGCTGCTGCTTCTGCTGTGAAGGGTGACACCCTCTGCTAGCGGGATATTGGACAGGACGTGCGGTGTGTGGGAGCTGTCTGTGTCCATGGTGCTCAGGCATGTGGAAGTGTCACGATTTGTTTGCATGTGTGACTGGCTATTATTCTTTCAGCACTGTTTATGTGGGCGGCTCAGGACTGAAAGCATGTGTGGGCATAGCAGTTGCTCGGGCTACAAACACTGGCCCCTGACAACATTGTACATCCACTGAACGGACGAGACAGAGATGGACAGATGGATGGTTGCTGTGTCTGGAATCTATGTAATGGATCTATTTGTTAGCAGAACAACAGAAATCTCAAGAGGTGGACCAGGGAGAAATTGCACCCTACGACGGCTCTGATAGTGTCTCGGCCCCAGAGTGCCGATGGCACCAGTAAATGTCATGGCTGTTGCGTGTCATTCTGATAAAGTGAGGGGGGAATGAGGACTGCATAGCAGCAGTTCTCCTTACTGACTGATTGGAGATCAGATGCAAAGGTTGCCTGCAAGCGTAAAGATTATGTGCATACGTTCTCTTATTAGATGCTTTAGTGTCTTTGGCTGACATTTACCTGTGTAAATGCCAATCTCGCCACTTCCCATTTCCGTGAAAATGCTGCTTAGAACTGTTAAAATTCACTCTTAGTTGTCAACGAAAAGTTGAGGCGTTCGTTGTTTTGTGAGTTAAGACCCACATACCTCGTTTTTTTGAGACAGGATTGAGATTTGAGATGCCTGTAATGGCTGGACCAAACCTTATCTCTGCTGATAGGATGTTGATTTTTGTGACAAATTTGTCAACATCGCCAATTACATCAGCTTCATTTTTAGTATGGATGATATCTGTCCTGAGTTGACAGACCAGGCTGGCTGGTTAACTCTCTGCAGACCAGATTACTGTAAGGACGAAACATCCCCATGTCACATTTCACCCCCAAATCTAAAGAAAAATAAGATTTATTTTGCAGAAACAATTGCAGCTTATTTTTAGAACCATCAACTTTTTTTTTTTTTTTTTTTTTTTTGCGCGATGTGATGTTATCATGGCAATTAGGCACATTTTCACGCCAGCTGGCATAATTTGTAATGCACCCAGACAGGTTTTTTTTTTTTCACCTGAGTTTATATATATATATATATATATGTGGACATTTAGATTTTGGGGTGAAAAAATGATTCCGGCATGTTCTTGACAGATTGCATGACAGTCACTCATAGCCTGACACACAGTCCATTACTATGTGGACCACGACCACTTTATCCAAGTGGTGAAAAACTGTGCCTCTGGACACCTGCTACTTTGCCTGAGGACTGTGTAAGTGGGCCAATAACCTGGTTGGTCTGAAAGCTGTGTAAGTGAAAATCTCTCACCCGCCCAGTTGACTCCATTTACCTCTGCAAACGCCCGTCATTTAGAAAGATGGATGAGTGATCCTAGTCACCGGGCTGCTTGCCTGTTAAAGACCTAATGGAGCACATACCGAACACGAATAAGCCTTCAGTGAGAAAAGGCCACTGTCTCTCTCCCTCTCTCTGTTGTGTCATGATAAAATGGTCCTATTCATTATGCCTGCTTACTCCGTTGTACCCAGAGAGTGTGTGTTTTGTATTGGCTCTTGTGTTTTGTTGGTAATTGTAGGGGTAATGATGTTTGTTAGGAAGGAGAGCGCAGACAGATGAGAGATCATTGACTGTTCTGAATAAACAGACTGCAGAAAGGTGCACACTTGAGTGTACTGATTGCTCGATGTGCGTCACTGTTCTGTCAATGGACTCTGTGTACCATGAGTGACTGTATGTTTCATGATGTTATTGTCAATTAATTAATGTTGTTTGCTGCAGGTAATCTATTCCTGGTATATTGAATAGTTTCTTTGGTACATAGTCACCGTCTCTGAGCCGAGGCTTAATGGTTTATGAACACTGATAAACACGTTCAGCTCTGTTGCGTATATGAAAGATGCAAGTTCTAGTTCAGCTTTTCTATATTTAACACATTCTCTATCAGTAATAATAGCAAAAATTACAAATGGTTTCTATAGAATATTTGAAAGAGCACATAAAATGGCTTGACGAATTTAGTTTTTACAGGAAGTTGAGACAAAATATATCAAACCTTTAGTTAGCTTAGTTAATAAGTAATAACCTTGAGTTTATGCCATGACCATGAACATATCCATGGTTCAAATTCAGGCTAGTACAGAAAAATTTGTTATGGCCAATAATATTGAAATTCTATACAGTTTTGTC